TCACAGATATCGTCAATCGACTCCAAGGTGCGAAGTATTTCACAAAATTCGATGTACGATGGGGATACAACAACGTATGGATTAAGGAAGGAGATGAATGGAAGGCCGCCTTCGCAACCAACAGGGGACTTTTCGAACCAAGAGTGATGTTCTTCGGACTCACTAACTCACCTGCTATGTTTCAATCCCTCATGAACTCTATATTTGCCGATCTCATCGCCCTAGGAAAGGTTGCCGTGTACCTGGACGACATTCTCATCTTCACCAGCACGCGAGAGGAGCATCAGATTCTAGTCAAAGAGGTCTTGTCACGACTCCAGAAACACAACCTCTACCTGCGACCAGAGAAATGCCAATTTGAACAACAGGAAATCGAATACCTGGGACTCCTGATTAGTGAAGGCCAAGTACGCATGGATCCAGCTAAAGTCAAAGCTGTACGAGAATGGGCAACTCCTCGAAACCTGCGTGATGTCCGGGGCTTTTTGGGATTTGCCAACTTCTATCGACGTTTCATTAAGGATTTTGCGAAAACGGCACGACCACTGAACGACCTCACACGGAAGCATGTCTCCTTCGACTGGGGAACCCAGCAACAAGCAGCCTTTGACGAACTTCGAACAGCCTTCACCACTGCTCCAATCCTAACTCTTTGGGACCCAGACCGGCCAACACGCATTGAAGTCGACGCATCTGGATTTGCTACAGGAGGAGTGCTATCCCAGAAATTGGAGGACGGTTTATGGCACCCAGTTGCATTCCGATCAGCATCCATGCAGCCAGCGGAGAGAAATTATGAGATATGGGACCGGGAAATGTTGGCCATCATCGACGCCCTGAAGGACTGGCGATACTTCCTGGAAGGACAACCTCAGCCATTTGAGATCCTAACTGACCATTCGAACTTGGAATTCTGGAAGAACACTCAAAACCTAAGTCGCCGACAGGCTCGCTGGGCACTCTATCTGTCCCGTTTCCACTTCCAACTCGGTCATCGCCCTGGCAAAACCAACACACTAGCCGATCCCCTCTCCCGTATGACAGCACATCAGGTCTCAGATAATGAGGACAATCGCCAACAGGTGGTTCTCGGACCAGAAGTCTTCGTACAAATTGCAGCCACAGCATTGGTCAACCCACTCGAAAATCGGATCAGGAAAGTCTCTGCTAGAGAAGCGGAAGTATTGGAAGGACTCCGGCAGTTAAAGAAGAATGGGCCGTCGTGATTGGTAAACGGACTAGCTGAATGGGAGGAGGACAACAGACTGGTATACCACAGAGGGCGAGTATATGTACCCCCAGATGAGGAGCTGCGAAGGGAGGTAGTGCAACAGTGTCATGACAACCCAACTGCAGGACATCCTGGGCTCCATGGCACGCTTGACCTGGTAGACACCCACTTCTGGTGGCCAACCATGCGCTCGTTTGTGGAGAAATACGTGGAAGGATGCGATTCCTGCGCATGCAAAAAGCTGCACCGACACCCGCGCACTGTCACACAACCCCTCGAAGTACCAAATGGCCCATGGGAAGAAGTTGGAGTCGATCTGATCACTCAACTACCAGACTCTCACGGCTACGATGCCATCCTGGTCTGCACTGATTTCTTCACGAAACAAGTCCACACCATCCCCTGCACCACTACCATCACCGCCGAAGGGATAGCAGACCTCTACTACCAAGAAATATTCCGACTACATGGACTGCCCCTGCATTTCGTATCCGATCGAGGCCCTCAGTTTAACGCCAAGCTCACCAGAGCGCTACTAAAACGACTAGGGATCAAGGGTAGCTTCACCTCAGGGTACCACCCCCAGGCCAATGGACAAACAGAAAGAGCGAACCAGGAGGTGGAGAAGTACCTGAGGTTGTATACGAACTACCGACAAGACGATTGGTCCGAACATCTTCCACTCGCAGAATTTGTACTCAACTCCCGCACGCACTTGGCCCACCATTTGTCTCCCTTCGAACTCCTATATGGGTACCTGCCCCTTTTCAATATCCCAGTAGGACGACGATCCGGAATTCCAGAAGTCGAAAACCGCATCAACATTCTGCGGGAAGTACGCCGGGATGCGGGGGCAGCTCTACACTTGACAAAACGACACCAGAAGGAGGGATACGAGCGAGGAAAGAAGAAGGCACACCAGTTCAAGGTTGGGGACTTTGTTTGGCTGGATGGATCGGACTTCAACCTGAAACTGTCAAGCAAGAAATTGGGCGATCAGAGCCTGGGCCCCTTCGAGATAGTACAGGAAGTGGGAGGTTTGGACTATCGGTTGGATTTGCCTGAAGAGCTGGGGCAACACCACGCCATCTTCTATGTCGACAAACTCTACCCCTACAAAGGCAACCTGATTAACGGTCTACTACCTGAACCCCCGGGGCCAATCGAGATTGAGGGCGAGGACGAACCGGAGTATGAGGTGGACGAAATTCTTGATAGTCAGTACAGGTGGCACCGGTTGGAGTATAGAGTCAAGTGGAAAGGAGACCACCGAAGCACATGGGAACCAGCACCGAACCTAAAGAACGCACCGCAGAAGGTAAAAGAGTTCCACAAGAAACACCCGGCGGCAGCAGGACCAGCACCCCGGGACAACTAAGGCGTAGTCATCGAGGACGATGAAGCGTAGAAGGGGGGTAATGTCATGAAGACGCCACTTTTCCCCCACCATTTGCTCACATGATTATCACATGTTCTTTTCTCACGGTCACTTACTATACATCCTTATTTCTCACGATTCCCTTTCTTAACCCACCATCGCGCAGCCTTAACCCACATTGCGCAGCCATCCCATTATCTCATATCGACTCATTCCTTATTCATCCTTGACTCATACTTACTCATACACGACTCATAGGTAGCCACTCCGACTCCAGCTCTGACCGTAGGATAGGTATATAAGCTAGCTAGTCTTCACCTGGTCCCTCATCTTGACCTCTTGTCGTTGGGACCAGGTGAGTAGTACAATCTCCTTCGCTTTCCTTCTCTACAATAGATCTAACTTGTCGTTGGGACCAGTTTCTGCCTTATCTCTGTCTGAGTCGAGCCCGCTGCTCCTCTCCACGCCTGCTACCACCGCTCTCTGCCTCCGTCGTCTCTGCCAGACGCTCCGCACTTCGTGACAGTTACGAGGTGTGTGGATAAGCCTTGCAAGAGAGGAAAGGAAATTATGGGGGAGAGGAAACCAAGGGGAGATGGTGGTGGAAGGAAGGGAAGGAACAAAGGAGGGAATCTGGGTAGCGTTAGGCAGCTGGGCTTATATGCCTGGTGAGGTGGTCCGTGCGGTGGTCATGAAAGCGGTGAGCATACAGTGATGTTGATGACGATTCAAACGTCACCTTCGCCATTCAAGATCAACCCCCAAGGCATTTGGATGAACTAGCCGGCGCTGGGGTCTATTGGTCTAAACTGACGGATTGAACGCCGTGTCCACCTTCCGGTGGATATGGCTGAAAGAACCTGGATCCCACACTGTGGAAGGCAATCCTTTGATTGATTGAGACCACTAGAGCTGAATAAAAGTAATTAGTATCTTTGTTTAGATATTGTGATAGACTCGAAAGTCAATGAGCACACACAAAGCACACACCTAGTCTGCAAGTTCCATCCACCGCAATTTCAATCATTATCCATATCCCTCGATTCATTTGAAGGTCGCAATTCGGCGGCGGTTATCGGACATGATGGACCACAACCAGTGGAACGTAACAATGGTGGTTGAGGGTCAAGAGCAACAGTGAGCTGATGACGCGTCGATTGCCGTGAGAAGTAGCCCGCCGGCGCTAACGATTCCTGCGCAAGCGCCACTCGTGCACCTGACCCTGAACATATGAGTCCGCCGGCGGAGACGACCTTTGACAACAGCGATGACACCCAACCAGCCGACTCCTGGGCATGTCTTAGTAGACCTGAATACAGCAACGAAGCATGCTAGACTTGGTGTGTATGATGATGCATCACTGTAACCCAACTGACCAATATTTCCCAAAAGGTGAGCAGTATGACCATCTATGAACATGGTCTGATATGATCCTTATTACAGTTAATCGTTCTGAAGCTTTCTGACCGGCCGCTGAGCAGCCTCTATACAGATGCTGCCAGTCTGAAGCACTCTGTCCGGACGCAGCCAGCCTTGGGCGCTCTGACAACGCTCTGACCAGTATCTGATCATCTTCCGAGAAGATTGTCTCAATCTTATTCAATATTACCCGCCGCTGATAATTGTCTTATCAGAGATCCTCAGCCTACCAACACCTTCCCACTCAACCTTCAGACTGGCGGTAGGTGAGCATATTGTGATCATAGTTTACCAGTCTCATTCTATCTTTACAGCGGCATATCAGTATGGGTAAGTCTACTCCTCTCTCGTCATCACGGTCAGACACTGAGCAGACGGTCATGGGTTTGCTGGCGAGAGAGGCCCTGTTGTATACCGACCAGGAGGAAGCTCACTACCCCATTCGCTACTCGTTCGCTCTGGAAAATACTGATAACTTGATAGGTAACTGTCACGTTCGCACAAAACGAGAGGTTTAGACAAATGTAAAGGTTATTGTCCGGGGGTACCATACATCCACAACATTCAATCGAAGGAGAACTATCGATATCATTTTATCCATCACGGACCTATGGGTGGCAGAGGAAGTTAGGAGGCAAGTTAGGATCGGGCTGGAAGTCATTCGGGCGATAAGACTCATGATTCAGAGATTGGATGCTTTCGAGGATTTACATACTTGTAGGTGACTGTGTATAATTTGCCCAGGTACTTGGCCATGGTCACGTACTGAATGATTAGAGCTCGAATGGTCCCTGAACAAGGTCCTCGAGCTGCAACATAATGATACACCCTCGAGTGGCGCACCTCGTTCGGGACTCATGATCAATACGAGTCTCGCAGAAAAACAACTTTGTATGGTCTCGCGGCGATCTATCAAAGCATGTTAGAACTACTTGACCGGAGGAAAAAGCTCTGCATGATATTGAGACACATTGCATTAAGAGGGAATCGAACCCCCGGCGGGTCGAAAGGAGAAATCAGACCTTTTCATGGCAACGACCCAGGTTACCACTACCCCATTAATGCCTTGCATCGAGTGTCGGCTGATTTAAGATTATTGTGTAGTCATGACTCAAGCACAGCTTATTTGTTCCACCTCGAGGATATATGCCTCGATTTGAAACTTATGGTTCATGGATTTTAGATGATCTTGGACCTGGACAGAGAGTGTATGAGATGGATAAGTACTCCAGGATGAGTTTGCGACGCCATAAACTCTCAAATTGAGCATGCGCCGACTCGAGGTGGATAGCAGGGAGTAAAAGGCTACGCGAAACGAAGAGATAGTGTTGTCGAGGGTTCGATACAACGGCTTTGGGCAGCAAATTGCGCTGGAATGATGAGGACACACTCTGTCATCAGGTGAGCGGAGACCTAGGTATACTCTAACAACCTCCGGGCTAACTCCTACGCTTCTAAACACCTCCACCACCTGCGAATTTGTGGTGGGTGTAACAATATTGGCACTGTTTGTTCGGTTTATTGTCGATACGTAATCCCAAACGATGTCTAGTTACCCTCCAATTGAAGGTAACATCTAAAAATCTGTACAAGTCTCTTCCCTCCCAATGTCCGCCCCCAGAAGCACAGTATCGAGGGCATAATTATACCTATGGATGGGCTGGTCTTGAGTACTATCAATTAACGATCCGCTGAAGAACCCATACACACCAGATCAAGTGGCCGTCATGGCGGGAGCCGTAGTTGATTCTTATACGCTTACACTAAGGCAGGTAGAAATTGATCAAAAGTTCATGTCACATCTCGAGTTTGAAGCGCATGAAAGGCTCACCGGTACCTCTAGGGAACATTTGTCTGCACCACCACCTGGCGGACAGTTGATAAAGTCAGCGGGATGAGATGGATATACGAGAGGAGGGTCTCGTCGAACAAGGGGCGTTGCAGAAGTGAAAATAAGGAGAGCGGAGAGAAATATCAATATCATGGTTCCAGAGAAGGTGATTGTCGCGCTGAGTATTGTGAACCTTTGCATATGCGAGATCTAATTGGAAGCACTGGGTGTGAAGGAACCTGAGCGTCGTGTTGGGAAAGTTGCAACCCGACTAAGTAGCTCTATTCAGCTCAAAGCCCGACAAGATCATCAAAACCAATCTCACTCTACCCACAGCTCAAAAGCGCTGTCATCTAAGATGATTGAGGACCATTATCATTTCATCAGTCTATGTATCACAATTGTAAGTTCCCCACTCTTCACACATCTAAGAGTTGTGATAAACAGGCGGTGCAAGGTCAGCCTCCAGCCTAGCCACCCTGTCAGATATCAAATCGAATCGAGCTTGCATTTCAAGGTCCGTCGATGACGTTAGCCCGGTGGAGGCTTCCCGTGGTTGCTGGGAGAGACGGGGATGACTATGATTGTTACCTGAACGTGCTCTAACATCATAAGAATGATGTTCTCTCTCTTGCCGAGTCCGCATCTCAGTTAGACGCCGAACCTTTTCCCACATCGTTCCAGCCGGTTGGTGCGGATTCAGAGGACGCCGATGGCTTCTAGCTGTAGCCAGTGCTCCTGATGCTAATGCTCCCACCATCCTTCGGGACTTGTCTGAGGCGGGTAATTCAAAAGGCGAGGCAGGGTGAATAGGTAATGGGGATATTTCGAACATCTGTTGTGCTCCTAAGGGGCGAGAAAGCGCAGATCAATCAGCAGCTTGAAAGTTGGTCGTGAAGAACAGCGACTCACTATGGTTTCTCCTTCGGATGAAGAGAGTCAAAACCACAGCAGTTGCTATGGTTGCGAGAACCCCAATGACACTGCCGATGATTGTTGCTGGGGAAGTATTTGAAGCGCTTGTAGGGGGTGTCACTGTGTTGAGAGGAGTCTCAGTTACGGGAGTGCTGGAAGTGTTGCTAAGCGTATCTAATCTCATTCGAGGCACGGAATTGCATCAAACCTAGTAGCTGTAAAGTCATCCGAACTTGAGGTACCTGTACGAGTGGGTGTCTGGGCTTGCGTTAAAGGTGTAGAGCCCGGCGGGATCGTTGAAACTGATGACACCGATCCCGATGTCGTTGTTATGCCCGGGGTCGCAGTGTCCTTGGATTCTACCACCACGAAGACTGTGTGCGCATCGACAGTCTCGGATACCGAAATCTCGGAATTGCTAGGCGTTAAAGGTTGAAGGTATGAGCCAAATCCGTGAGCTGGACTCGTGACTCCAGGAAGTGCGATGCTCGGGCTCACCTCACGGTATACATGATGTCATGCAAGAGCTGAAATTGTCTGAAGGCCACAAGACGTGGTGAATTTCGAGAGGCAAGTAGGATCAAGTTATACCCGAGGTTACATGACCAAACGTTAGACAAAAGAGAGAATAAAGAAACGAAAGCCCTCGACTCACCCGGTCCTCGTAGGTACCAAACTATATACGCCTTCGATGTTTTCCCCGACCGTGATGAAAACAGGCTTTGCTACTGCGCCGATAGCAGACCCCAGCGCATTCAGCTCTGGTCTAAACTGCTGGAGCGCATTGTCCGAAGGTCCACGGCGCCAGGTGAGGGTGAGTGGCTTACCAACGAATACGGTAGCCGGAAGAGCTGGTTGTACCTCGAATGTGGCAACTGGAAACGCGTGCCAGAAGACGAATATTGGGAATAGGTAGTGAGCCTTTGGGGCTCTGGTACTCCTTAAATGTGGATGAATGTTTGAGTTAAGGGGTACTGCACGATCCACTCACAAAATGTACATTTCCCTGATTATCACCGAATTTCAGGGACTTGATTTGTTTACTCTAAGGAACGGAGAAGTCAATTGGTTTAAATATGATCTCGTTCGGAATCAGTTTGGGTAGCTCGGACACACTCCAGTGTTTTCTCACTGTAATGATCAGTATCAGATAGTGAGTCGATGGCGCCACTGATCTGCAACGGCGAGACTCTGGGGCTGTCTCCATCGAAAGTTGGAGAAATCCAAACCAACGTGTGTTGTGCAAATCCATCTATTCACTGGAGTCATCGCCTCCATAACGTGGAACACCTTCGTCCGTGTGCATTGCCTCTCTGATACCCCAAAACTTGAGCCTCGAGTACTAGCGAGCGCTCGTATCCTATTAGAGAGTAGAAAATAAAAGTGTGAGAATCAGTTTCGAACAGTAGCTTGATGGGCCGAAGAATCCTTTCTAAATATTCAGCCTGCCTTGAAGCTTGAGGATCGAGCTGCTCCCACGGGTTCAAAGTGAAAGCGGCTTGCGGGTCGGAAGAGAGCGTGAGGCTATACTGGAAGCTGCTCAGAAATTTAAGATTTCATATCCAAGAAGGCAATATCATTCCCGCTGTAGAGCCTTCGATCCTGTGAATAGATTCTTGGCATCGCAAAGATAACTGGCTTTTGGCCCGTTAGCGACGGGTGCGAATCTTGGCGGAAAGATTTTCATCACTACCTCAGTAAATTACGTACTGGCAAGCGGGAGAATTACCCTGACTTCAGCCGCCACTTCGAATCTTTGAGCTCGTGGCGAGCAGATTCAAAGAGAAAGAGGCCAAACAAAGGCCTCGAGGCGCTTCGCTTGCTTAAGTAACCTTCGGAACCGAAGCCTCGGCACCTTTACACTATCTCCCTTCTCTCCCTTCTCTTCCACGACGTCCCCTCCGTTCATTGCATTATTGAATTACAGCAAGAAGCTCAATCTCACGAGCTTCTACGAAAAAATTTGGGTCTTTAACAGCAAAGCAGCGTATTCCCGCAAATATTCAACTTGCGTTTAACCGTCAGCAGTAACTTTAAGTGCTTCGGGGCCAATTTTGGTCTACAAACAAGACGGAATAGAAATTGAATGTCAATAGTCATTGAGTCGTCTGACATGTCCAGACTCCGCATCATTCAATCTCAAATTGACCATATACTCACTGAGTCTATTCTTGTTACAGTATTCAGAGTTCTTGTTCAGAATTCAGGAAGGAACGTGAGCTCAACGCTTTCTGCGAATTGCTATATGCGACTACCTACCACCTGCATGACATGCCTGATAGGCAATAGCCTGATAACACCGGAGGCACGTGCCATGTGAACAGAATGTATCCCCAGCTGAGTGACTTGAAAGGACACAAAGAAAAAGCAGTCTTGCAGTGGTTTTTTCTGCCAAAAGCCAAAGCAAGAGTGCGATTCTTCATTCACTCAGCTAGGCACACGGTCTGTCAACACGGTGTGTGCCTCTGGTGTAAACCCTGATATATCAAATGGTCTAAGACAGGAAGAAGCTCAATCAAGTTCAAGCAATGCAAACCAACTACCTCAACCAAACTGAGCCTCTCCAACCCATTTTCATTGAAGATATCACAGTACATCTTGTTGAACACCTGCGCGCCATCTCCAATCTAACTCTCTGCTCAGGTGCCCCGGCTTCTCTACGGTGCGCGGAATATGCTCAAGACCTCGAAATTCGAATGCCGTTGCTTACTCGCAATCTTTGTCACCAGGAATCTATTGTGTCCTATATGGGGCAGGTCTTTTCATCCTTAGATGAAGGGGGACAGAATACCATGTCTAGTTTATTGCCATGACAGCCCTCTATATAGCATCTTGACAACAAACCGCCATCCAATACTATGCTGCTTTCTCGACCCGTAGCTCAGCGACGTGGGTCGATGTCTTTGTCATCAGATACAACCCCAACAGCACGAACCAAAAATATACCGAAATTCACCCGTCAGCATTGGTATGCTCATCCACGTTGAAACATCCGTACCCGCGAGTCGCAAAACAAGGAGCTGTTGGCCGTATACGGTGGCGTGCCGCTTTCCATTGACGAGACAGTGGCTAAGGTTATTATAGGTATTCAAAGATACTCGACTGCCAGAACATGGACGCAACGTTTTGCGGCTTTTGCGCTAATCGCTATACCTGACAAGCACCTTCTCGCAGGTTGTGACCGCCTCTTGATACGCGAAGTTTAGAATAAGAAGGAAGCCCCTTCAATCGCCATTTTCCCTTCATCAATAAACCCTTCCAATCCTTCGAATCATCATGCAGATTACTGGGCGTGAATTGAGAACCTATGGCCCATCCTCATAGAGTCTTTGATAGACGTATTGGTGCGTCAGATTGGGCTCTACGTAATTTCTGCTCATAGATCGTTCATATAGGTACCCTGGTTTTTGTATGGTATGTAATATTTGTCGAGCACCTGGTGCTTCCTTACTTATACCCCGCTCAGGAATCTACTGTGTATTATATGGGGTGGGTATCTTCATTCTCGAGCGAAAGAGAACAGAACACCATGTTTGGCATATCATCGCTATGACCTTTCTCTTCCTGCTTAGGGCGACGTCCACCTTATTCATAAGCGGTGCTATCGTCGTCCTTCGAGGATTAGACACCGTCAGCCTCAAGATCTCAGGAAACGGCTCTCTGCAGTACACCAGGTTGGTCGTTGATCTCATGTGAGTAATCAGAAATCCGTGGATCGCATCTGAGCTGACTGTTATTTTAATAGACGGGTTTTTCTTCGTATTCTCTCTAAGTGAGTGTACGACTGACTTTACTTAAATTCGATTCAAGAACCTTTCGATCGCATACCTGTATTGCGAACGGTATTCTAGTGAGTTGCCCGTCCTATTCTCCCACTCCCAGATACTGACTTACAGCTACAGATATAGAGATGTTTTTTAATCTAGAACCGTGATTGGAGGGTCGTCTGTATACCGATCGTATCGTGTATAGCTTGCACCGGTAATGATATCCTCTTTGCTCTTTTACGTCGCTGATTGCAGACACCAGCCACCGGAAAATTGGACCTCAAATAGAGACTCCCACCGCCTCGCCATTTTCGTTCCGCGCTGGGGGTCCCGTTCAGTCATAATGTAACGATTTGTATTACTATGGTGACAAGTACTTAGTTGGTCGGTTACATGTCTTATTGGTGTGTCGACTATCTCATGTTAGGTGGAGCTAATTAACCCTCCGTTAAGCATAGAAAGGCTTCTCTACAATGCGCGGAACTAGGGGTATTTTGGGAGTGAGTCGTGTACACCGGAAGTATATGCCCGTGATGGTGATCGTGTAAGCGGAGTCTCGAGGTGAACCTGTGTGAAAATCTTGACGTTGATTCTGCCCTCGTACCTTAGGGTGGAATCTAGGATCATATATCCGATTACCATGATCATCTCACTCGTGATTCTCGGGAGCAAGAGCGATGCGGTGGCTTTTGGTTTGCATCATATCGTGGTGAGTGTCTTCTCTGAGGTCCGATCTGTTGCTGAGTGTCAGTCTTTTGGCCAAAGGGTATCGCTCCAACCTTGATAATCGTGCGTGCGGGGCTAGAAAACGTGCTCCAGGACACACAGAGCTACGTGGATACCCTCGGCCTGAGGTAACAGATTTCATCAAGGGGTCCTAGCAGTGCTCCAATCATGGTAGACCCGCTCCCTCGAAAAACAGCGTGTAAAACTCGTTCATTTGATGGTGTAAGGGGGTTGAGAAGCATAGGTTAGCTTTACTATTGTCACTCTAGCATATATGGCGTACAGCGTCGTGAGGAACCTCGGTGGTGCGATGTAGCCAAGGACTTGAGTCAGCTTGACAACCAGAGCTGTCCGAATAGAACGTAGAGAAATATCACGCCCCGCCTTGTCGCAACGGATCCACTTTCAAGGATCTATCATCCGTCAATAACTCGAATTGTCATCGCATGCCCCATGGCTGAGTTGGTTACAGCGTCCGACTGTTATGTACTACCTTGTAGCATCGGAAGGTCGTGAGTTCGAGCCTCACTGGGGCAGTAACGGTCCATTCATTCTCTACTTTTTGCGCCCCTCCCGGTGGTTGAACGATATATAGGAATTGAAAGTCTAGTGCTATATATAGTACCACAGCAAAACCACCGTACTACTGGCCTAATAATCTAATTCCCTTCCCGAATCTTAGTATGCAACGGCATCTGCGGTCCTTTATGCCATTCTCCGACCACGAAGGGAAGCTTGAATCCAGCGGGCAATCCAACGACGTGGGTATCCTTCGGTAGTTTGAATTCGAAGGACTCGATGAGCTCTGCGGCGACGGATTGGATTTCTAGAACGCTATTGATCGATGAGTCAAGTCGGTCAACAGGCGAGTGGAGAGGAACGTACGCAAATCGCCAGCTAAATTGAACGGAGAGAGGATTTGTCAGTCAAGTGATATAATACAAGAGCTTCAATGACGTACCCGATACAAGCTCTGTGTCCTGCGCCTGAGCAAAGCAAGAGCAAAGTGAGAAGGCTTTCCCCGAGTGCTGACGAGACTCGTGACTTACTGAAGGTCATTCTATGGTGAAAGAAAACGATGTCAGCTTTCTATCCCCAGACCAAAGAAGAACGAACAAAAGCTGCTCACAAGTTCCCATACACACCAACCGTAGTCGGCTTATGCACATCTAAAAACCTCTCCGGGTTCCATTCCTCAGCATCGTCACCCCACACCTGTTTCAACCTAGCGGGGACGATAAGGTTAGGTTTAGTACAAAGAAGTCAGGCGGAAGAACCCACCGATTATAAGCAGCGATATCAATCATAATCCTCTGCCCTTTCGCAATCGGGATCTCGTTGATCAATGTTCCTGAAGTTCCAGTTACCGGGTAAGCCAGTGGAATAACGTCTTCGCCTTCGCTTTGTCTGAAAGCTTGGAAGACGATTGGGTGTAGGCGGAGGGATTCCTAGTAGATTTAATCAGTGAGGGGAGATATGGGAGAAGGGGATGGATATGAACCTTGATACAAGCATTGAAGAACGGCATCGAGTCTAATTCGGAAGAGCTTAGGTCGCCCTCGTTGGAGTTGCGTTCTCGGACGGATTTGATCTCTTGGAGAATACGTTCTTGGTGTTCTGGACGTTGGCTGAGTTCGTAGAAGAGCCAACTCAAGCTTTCGAGGTGGAGGAACGGTTTGTCAGAGGAACAAGAGAGGAATCAAATGAACTCACGAAGAGGCGGAAGTTTCGTGACCAGCCATAATGATAGTTCTACATCCCGGGGGCTAGAAGTCAGCTATCGCTTGTAAGTCGAAAAATCATTAGTACGTACGCCAGCTGATTCATAGCCTCGTTCGAAGACATCGAGAGAGCTTTGTCCTTTGCGTTCGTCGAACGAGCTATCAGCAGTAAAAATAAACATCGTCAGCACATCTTCATCGCCCATTCACTCTTCCCAACACTGACCCAAAACACCCAGAATGTCATTCTCCTCATACGTCTTACTTTTCATCTTATTCTCAAACAACTTCTTCGCGACAGCGTTCGACGTCAAAAGCCATTTCGCCCATCGGACGTCTTCCCTCGTTTGAAAGAGGGGAAAGCTCATGAGGAAGGATGCTACAAAGTTGGGGACCGAGCGACGCAAGTTTCGGTAGAGCGTGAACAAGGGCGTGGGGCGTTTGGTATCGACACTTTGGGTGGTAGTGGAAAGTTAGGCGCACGAATGAGGAAAGATCAAGAAGAAATGGAGCACGCACAAAAGATCCCGAACCATAACCGCCAACTCCGAGTTCTTCTTATCGAGAGCTCCAAATTCGTAATCAAACACGCCTACACCGAATCGGTAAGACGAACTGTGAACGCTAAAAGTTAAACAAGCCACACTCACTTTCACCCAAAACATCAAGCGTCATATTCGGGAACCACTTTGTCGTATCGATCACATCCGATTCACCAGATTTGAGATGGTCTTTCCATCGTTTCGCCAACTTCAAGTTCCAAAAAATAATCAACACCTCCCCCCAACCCCATCAACCCAAACGACAACAAAAAACCACGTACATCTCTAGCAGCCCTCACAAAGAACGGACCAAGCTGTTTTGTTTGCGTAGCCGAGAAAGCCGGAGTCATGATCTTTCTCTGTCTCTGATGTTGGGAACCTTCGACAGCGACGATACCCTCACCGAAGAGGTTCATCGTGGCTTGTGTCGTGTCGATCGCTTTGCGAAATCGGTATTGGCTGCCTTGGAAGATGTATTGGAGGGCTCGGGGGTCGCAGGTTATGAGCATGTCTTCCTATTTGTTGCGATGGGTGAGTGGTGAGGAAGAGGGAGGAGACGGTGGGTGTAAAGGGGTACGTACATCCCAACAGGTCTTTGCACGGAAAGCGGTCCCGTGGGTTTCGAACCATTTAAAGGTGAGTTGGCCTACGGTCATTTGGTTTTGGATTTCATTCTCGTTTCCTAATCAGTCGTCGTCGTCGACATGTTAGGGGGGATTTGTAGGGTTTTGGATTTGGGGACTACGGTTACACGTACCGAGGAAATACGATGGATTGGGAGGACCTTGAAGGAACGAAAGAGAGCGTCGTTTGGCTCGGAGAACTAGGAGTGTAAGGACTGTCGCTACACCCGCGAGTGGGAGGTAGATGAAGTGAGTTACCGGACCTAGATCGAAGGCCATGGTCAAGACGAAGAGGGGAGGAAGGGGGGGAATTAGAAAGACAAAATGAAAGGTACGTTTTTATACACGCATCACTGATTGACTGCCGTGAAGTCCAACGACTCAGGAGAGATGTTTCATGTGTGCAGGGTTGTAGCAATAGGCCGAGTAGGACGCGTGAGCCCCGGTAAGGGTTTTGTGATCTTGGCCCTCTAAATCTAAAGAAATAAATACACTAACAGTAAGGTGTTGATAGGCTTAAGAAGTCAAGAATTTCTCCGGTCTCGTACCGGGTTCGACAAAAATAGAAAGAGGGGGGATTCAATCCCGCTGCCATCGCTTGAAGTGTTCGAATGGTGTCTCGTAGGGATGTCGGAAGTCGGGAGTTCCTGAGGGCTCGAGTGAATACATGAAAATGGATAACTCTACCCAGAGAAAAGACGAGAAAGTGAGCTTACTACCGGGTACGTACAAGTAAAAAGGTACAAACCCATACAGAAATAAATGCAATCGTACCACAAGTTGGCGTGCCGAGGTTGGTAATACATAGGAAGTGATAAACAAGCCTTTTCAACGTTGACTCTGAGTAAGAAAGCAATCTCTCGAGTTCAAGGGCTGTAGTCGAAGCTCTAATCCCTGGATGGAGCCAAATCTTTGGTGCTGCGCAGCGATCCCAAAGGGCGCTGAAACCGGAGATAACGATGACAGCGGCGAGTGAGCATGCTTCGCCCCCCCTTTGTGTTGGAGAAAGCCGATCATGGCCGGTTTTGATATGAGATCCTAGTCGACTCACAAGTATAAGTAATCTGAGGGCTTGGGTGAGGTCAAGTATAGAGTATTTAGGAAAACCCAGGCGTTCACCGGCACCTATTACCTTTCATTCCTGAAACGGTACCGGTGCTCTCGGGGTAGGTAGTTCAACCGTCCATCCGGTTCCGACGATAAGTACCAAGCCTCAGGGAAGTGGTTGATGTTGACCGTTTCATTGCCATCAGTATAGCGTACTCGAACGAACGAGATGTTGGAAGCTGGGGGTTGGGAAGCGCTGAGCGGGAAAGACAGACAGAGAGAGATCTAGAGCGCAGGAGACAAGAAGGGATGTAATTGACCGTACTAATGAGTCGGGGACTTTGGGAATATTTGAACAAGTACGGAAGACCGAATATGAGCTCTGGAGGTGCTAAGGAGAGATAATCTGGGCCCTAGGTAGACTCTGTATATAAGAAAGGAGAGATGGAGATGGAGTTAAATATGCCGTGGCCAGTGTCATATACAACACACCACCTAGTGGCACTATCTCGGTTTACCGAGGACGACGTGAGTATAGACCGAGCATTGACATCTGGATCGATCGATGGTGGACGTTCTGGTTCAAGAAGTGTGACTGTCAGTCATGAACTCGTGACTGATCGTGATTTGTGACTGGGGCTCAAGTGGGCCGCGGTCGTGAGACCCACGCCAAAAAAAGCCCCAGATTTCCATTGATAGACGGGTCTCACAGCTCCCAATCGTAGAAACCAAAATACTTACCTTTTCTGGGCTTTCTGGGTACTGCGTGGCATATTATGTCGATCTGTCCCGCTAATTCCAAGAATACCATGCTGTCTTGGTACCTGGGAGGGAGAAGAGAGTAAATATTGACGTCATTTAGGTTTAGAGGCGTAATAAAACACCATCATACGACTTGGACTTGCCTCTCCCCCTTTCAACAGCTTTCGATCTCCCTCTCTCTTTCTCTCTAGCACGATGCCTCGACCACGATGGGCTCTCACGATGGAAGCGCAGATGTGGAGAAATCTGATGGATATTGGAATGCGTATGCACATTATGGCACGACCACCTGCGCCTGCACCGGACAAGACGATCAAGATACCGACGACGTTGTCGACTAGTAAAGGGGAGATTGACTTGCATTTCTATTTTCCAGAAGGTTATACTGGGAAGTATGCGCACGGAAAGAAGAAGAAGCACGGCAGGCGACACCGGAAGAAAGCAGGAGAAGGAGAGGGCGAGGAAGGGAACGACGACCACGATCACGAGGAAGAAATTGGCAGTCCAATCACGAGAACGTCGACGAAGAGCACGATTAGCTCAATCGCTTCTTCAATATCCGGGTCTTCCATCCTCTCTGGCACATCTACAACATCCAACACCTCCAACTTGTCAACTCTAACCGAAAAACCCTCTCAGACCTCCTACCCAGTCCTCCTCAACTTTCACGGCGGCGGCTTCACCATCGGCCGTGCAACCGACGACGCCCGGTGGGCCCGCTCCGTCCTCGAATACACATCCTCCATCGTCGTCTCCGTCGAATACCGTCTCGCTCCCGAATACCCTTTCCCCACAGCCATCGAAGACGGCGTAGACGCTGCCCTCTACCTAATCGACCACGC